AAGAACACTTGAGGGTATATTGATGAAAGATTCAAATGCTAGATTTGAAGAATGGGCATCTTTTTATGAGACCGTATTCCTAGCTATGCAAGATTTCTCTTTGGCTTGGCTTCATTTGATAGCAGGACTTTTTCAACATTCATGGCAATGTAATGGGGCTTGTGTTTGATTCTTGGGACAATACTCTTCAGATGTAAAGAGTTCTCTTTTGGTACCATATGGCTGGAGGTTGATGGGGGGGAGTGAGACGTGATTGGAGGTCAGAGAGATAAAACATCTCAGTGAGCAACAAGCTTAACAACACATGAATAAAATGTAACCTTCCCCAGTAAAACTGTTGTACGAAGTTTCAAAAGCTTTAGTTGCAGACCAGGAAATCTGTTTTGCAGCTCCTCCCTATGTCTTCCACTTCATTTCCATCATTATGTTAAGAAGCTGGTGTTTTGTTCTACCTCTTAACAATCTGTGCTGAAGTCCCTGCTCGTTTTCTAATGACTTTTCAATGATGATTTAAGAAGGATTTGAGACGCTTCCCCGGCTCTTAAATATTTCTATTGGCTGCGGGTCTCTGTTGCCAACAGTCCCCATTCATTCGCGCACAGAAGACTTTTGTTGTAACTCAGCGCCTCACTGCTCCAGCTACTTTAGTTCACATTGCTCCAGCTGAATGTCTTCGAAAGCTCCAGGTCACAAGATCAACCCGACGCAAATGCAGCATTCAAAACAAAACTCCTGTGGTTTACATCAAATTTCGATTCACAGGAAATTTGTTTAAATTGCAGCTGGTAGACCACACACACCATTGCTAATCCTGGATAAAATTCGGTAAGTGGTCAGTCAGAACTCAGGAGTTCAGTAACCAGTGCAGGTAAAATCTCTATAATTCTTTCGTACACCCAAACAACCATTCACCACCTTTCTGCTGACTGATCAAAATAAGGTTATCTGTAACTGTCACAGTGATATTTTTAAGATGTTGTACAAGTTCAGAATTAATTCAGTCAGCCTGTTGATGATAATTCATTTCAGAAGTGAATGCCAATGCTGACTTGGTAGTTTTACAAAATCTCATTAGATGTGCACTGTTTCAAATAGTTGGCTGCATTAACTCAGCTAGACCAATAGGTTTTGCAGTTTTATACACTTGCAAGTACATATATTTTGTGTTCTCCATATTAATGCCCAGGAATATTCGTTCAGCATTTTGTCTCTTCTGAGTGGATATGCCATGATATCACTTGCCGTAAATCATACAAAGAATTTTTCAGTAATTGCAGAGCGTCATTCAATGTTGACTGCAATGTTCCTAAGGTTGTAAAAAATACGACGAGAGAGGTATGAGAGCTAAGGACCAAGTGTGACAACAGAGTAATGATAAACATAAGAAGAAGCCTAAAGTTATTTTATAAACTCATAATTGAAAGAAGGTAGATAAAGGAAGGCTGGAACAAATTAAGCACAAGGAAAGAAATCTACTTGCAGAAACAGATGACTAAAGGTGAAACACTTATATCTACCCTGAGCAGAGAAGAGGATGTTGCCAATGTGGCAGTCAAGGTGTAGCAGTAGCAATTATTGGAAAAGAAATAGACAAGGAGGATGTACTTAAAGTAGAAAGATCATATGGAGTGATCAGGATGCATCGTTAGTTATTGAGGAACATAAGAGTTGCCATTGTAAAAATTCTGGCCACAATCTTGCATTTCCTCTACAGAAATGGAGCAGGTGCTGATAGACTGCAAACATTACACCCTCTTCTAAACAAATAAACCCAGCAAGTTCAGGTCAATCAGTAATAGGGATACATTGAGTGATGATAATCTGAGACATGCTAAATGCCATTAAGTATACCACTGCTAGAGGAGGCAATGGCCTTAGTGGTATTATTGCTGGATTGATAATCCAGAGACCTGGGTAATACTTTGGAGACTTGGCTTTGAATGCCATCATGGAAATTGAATTCAATTTCTGTTCTAAATCTGGAATTAAGGGTCTAATGACAACCACAAACTTATTGTTGATTGTCAGGAAAAACTCATCAGGTTCACGAATGTGCTTTGGGGAAGGAAATTGCAATCCTTACCTGGTCTGGGCTACATGTGACTCCAGACCCACAGAAACATGGTTGACTGTTAACTGCTCCCAGGGAATGAACAATAAATGTTGGCCTAGCCAGTGATACCCTCATTCTGTGAATGAGTAAAAACAAAATTTGAAAAATCACAGACTAATAAACATCAGTTTGTAAATCCTATTTGACTAATTTTACTGATGTTTTTGTGAAGAAATAGAGGTACAAAACTATCAAAATTCCATTTGCAGTTGATTCAATCTAAACATTTTCCCTTTAAAAATGAGCCACATCAAAAATCTTACATGAGAACTTTCTTGTCAAATACGTTATTTGCTCAAGATAACACGGTGTAGAGCTAGATGAACACAGCAGGCC